ACTGAAATGTATTATATTAAAAATTAGGGCCCCATATTTACATTTGAATTTTTAAAGTTTAATTAAGTAGAATGAGTCATGATGAGTCACTGTGCAGATTCTCCCAAGTATTTCTGACAAAGCCTCCAAAACAATACAGAGAAACCCTGTCTCGAAAAACAAAGAAATAAAAAAAAATTACGTTAATTTTCTTTAGCACTGTTCCATTGTTATTCATAGAATTGTGAAATGATATAATTTAACAGTTCAAGTGACTGTTAAAGGTATCCATCCAAGATTCAAGCAGTCCTTCTTAAAATGGGAAACTTAAGGCACAGACATGTTAAACATGCCATGGGGATGTGCACTATTGCCAGTAGCTCTTACTGGTAGATTTGATGGTCTTGTCTAATGCCCAGGAAACCTTAAACTTACTCTTTAAAGGAAACTTTTCATGCTTTGGCAGTCTGCAAAATGTTTACCATGCTTAATCCTTTATTAAGGAGACTCTTGTATATTAAAGGATCCATGATTTTCTGACTAGTCATAGAACCCAGTGACTAGACAGTAGAATAAAGTGTATCTGAAGTTACATTTCAGACACTGGTGCAAGGGATTACTTACAAAGCTTATTGCTGTGTCTCTAAAATTCAGCAGAATAAATACAGATTATTAAAGTCAACAGTATGTACCTTTACAACTCACTTTCAAACTTATGATTAAAAGACCTGCTTTTTTCCTCTTCTAAAACTTGACAAGTTTCAAAAAGAAATAACATATTAAAGGGTACTTGTGAATGAAATTTGTTAAATTTTAATCTCCATTTTCCTTTTCTCCTTTATAAATCTCCCTTACACATATTCAGCAAGGCGATTATATATGTTAATACGTATTGCATTAGTAAAGAACAAAATGGGGGTATTTCTAGGTAGCGTTTTCCATGGAACAGAGAATATGAAATGTTCCCTGCAGATGATGACAAGATTAGGGGCAGGAGGTCTGCTCCTGACAGAGCAGTCCCCGCTCATCCTGTCATTGTTTAAGGCCTGTCTCATTGGTATTTCAATTACAGAAATTGAGCATATTCATGCAGGGGTATAAACCTAAACCTTCAGAGAGTATGCTGATGGGTTCAGAAGAATCTGTTCAGAAGGATTAAGTAAGATATTCCATGACCAAGTGTTCTTGGGAAGACCTTCTGTACAGGCAGAGAAACAGGAATGTGATTCAAATATAATCTGTCAATCTTGTCCTTGGTAATATGGCCTGCTGCCATATTACTTATTTCTAAGAAGACTTTTGGATTGAAAAATAAAGGAGACTTGAGTTCATTATATAATAATTGGAACTTTTATGAGGTTGAGTTCGTGTAATAATGAAGGCACATTGATTTTTGGGTGTCTGACTGCTCAGCCTTGCTCACAGAAAGCATCAGGAGTACTGGTTAGCTTGGTAGAGATAATGTGATGTGACACAAGTTTGAAAGCTTTGTGGGAACTCTGAGGAGGCTTGCTTTTGACTTTCCCTTTTTACACTTTATCAGAAATGCAGACTTTCACATCAAAGAGATTAAATAATACATGTAACAAAGTATTTGGAGTGACCTTAGTAGCAAGTCTTTATTCTTTTTTGTTTTAATTTTATGGGGTTCCATTGTCATTTACTAATTTTAACAACAAGCTAATATGATCCTTTCTCTTGGCCTGTTCTGGTCACTCTGGTTGTCCTTTTTCTTAATGTCCTCTATTGTTTTGTAGAAAGTCTTAGTAAGAGATTGTGTTATGGTTTATGCAACATCTGAGAGACATGGCATTCCCAGTAACTTAATTGAGAAACAGGTCCTTTCCTGGTTGTGCATAAGGAGAAGCCCTAATGACTGAGTCCTTCAGTATTACATAGGGTGTTCTACTTAGCTCACCAAGGGACAGCGTTCTTAGTGTTTCCCACCCTGCCTACTATCAATGCGTAGACTCTTAGCCATTGTAAGATGTTATTTGTAAAACACCTACTTTTCCCCTTGCGTTTTTTCTTTCCTCCCTCCATTTCTCTTTTTGCCTTCCTCTTCTTCCTCTCCCCTTTCTTCCCCTCCCCTCACCCTTTCCCCTTCCTTGCTTGCTTCCTGTCATTTGCGCGTTTGGCAGTGTTTCATTATATAGCACAGGCTAGCCTGGCACCTGCCTTCCTCCAGCTTCCGTCTGTGTGCAGGGATTACAGACGTGCACCAGCACAAAGTTAGCTTTTGTCATCTTGACATCCTTATTTATGACACTTTGTTGTTGTGTATTCTTTTGTTTGTTCTGAGTTTGTGTTACACTCGTGGCCATGGCCTCAAGTTTTCTCCTCAGAGTAGCAACAGTTTATCACACCATTATTTCAGTTTCTGGGACCAGGGAATATAGCTTAATTCCCTGTTATGTTTTCAGAGTAGCAGATTTCCTGAGTTCTTTTCTCCTTACAGGCTGGTCTTCATATAAGGGCAGTCAGTTTTATTACTTTTTTTGTTGCTAGATTTTCTCTTCCTTGTATCGTCAGGATACTGAGTATGGGCTGTAGTGTGAAAGTCTCTTAAGTGAAGGGATCTGTTCATGTAACTGTCAGCCTTTCTTTAATGATCATACCTGGCAGCATAGAGATTTTCTCTGTCTTGATTTTATAGAATTTTGGGGTCATGTTAGCTTCCAAAGTTTAGAGCTTTTGTGCTTCTAAAGCTGTGTATACAATCACATACTTCAGTAATACTCATTTTGATCTTCTTTAGCATGATATCCTAGTTGAATAGCTTCTGGATTGGCACAGGGATTGTGTATTTTCACTAGTTACTGAGGGCATTAGAAGAGGAACCTTTTGGTCCTGCTTAATCTGCCCACTTCTGCTCTTAGCTGTTTGAAAATCCTATTCCAGGACTTCCTGTCTGTGATCTTTTTTATCTGCCCTATCCAGATGTCTCTAATCCATCTGGTAATACTGTTAGTGGATACAGAATTGACAAATGTGCACGCAGCTTATGAGAAGGCATAAGGGGTACGGTCTGTGGGAACTGGGGTAAATTCTGTACTGTGAATGATGTGTTCAGAAACTACACTGGGGGATAGAGAGTGAGTAGGGGGCCTGGGGAAGGGGGTGGGAAGGAAGTCAGAGAGGGCTGCAGGGACCCGGGATCAGAGTTGAAAAGCATCATGCCTCTGATTATGATATGCCAATGTTTCTTAGAGCTAGGGAATAAAAAAATCACAGGGACGGAGCACCTGGCTGGAACCAGATTCAGTTGAGTGGGTTCAGAGGCCGTGTTCTTGGATGTTCATGTGCTGCCCTATCAGTTTGAGGAGGCAGCTCTATATCAACATGCCCACATGTGTTTATCCTTGTTATAGTCCCTGTACTAGGTTAGCTAAGAGTGCCAGTTTTGTAATCAGCACTCTTGGTTTGTGTCCTGGCTCTTCCACTTAACTGCTGAGAAATCTTGAGAAACCACACTGTTTCCTCATCACCTGATGTGGATAATGATAGAGTGTACTTGGTAGGCAATGACAAACATTCCTTAACAAAACATTTATTTCTAAAATTTTGTATATGCTATCTGCATACGTGTGTCTCTTAAAAACTTTTAATCCCAACACATTTTAATTCACTTATTCACCTTCCCTTTAAATTGAAGAACTAAGGAATTTCATAGGAACCATAAGCCTCAAGTCCCAGGATACAGAGTGAAGCTAGTGTTCCTCAGCTCTTTCCATCTTCTCGATAAGAAGAGTCAGGAGGAGGCAAATTCTGGAAAGATGTTTTTTTTTCTTGAGTATTTAAGCCAGAATATTCTCTCCAGATGCCCACAACAATCTACTTGCACTCTGGAAATAGTGAGCCAAGGCTTCCTCTTTGCCCATGCATAGTTATCAGACATAAAGATTTTTGGGATGCACTAATTTCATTGTCATTTCAACATTTTGCATCAGTAGACAAGGGCGCTTGAGTTTCCTAGCACTGGCTAGTGGGAGCATTCTGGAATGCTAGCTTTCAGTGCCCTCAAGGAGTTGCTAATCATTTCCACTTGAAACTTCAGAGTGGCTTGAGCACTGGTCTTTTAACTCATGTTAGATCTTCTTGAGAACAGCCTTTTATTATTAGCTGAATTTATGAGCAGGATATAGTTGATGCATAAAAGTAAAAGCACATTTGTTTTATTTTTGTTTTAGGAGATTGATTGCTTAAATACTAGGTCAATGAAAGTGACTTTGGCAAGCAAGTTAGTTGAAACTAACTTCTTCATAGGAATGGCTTTGAGACACAGAGTGAATAGTGCCTTTGTTATTAAAATAGAAGAATTCACTTGTTATAAAACTCCAAAGCGAAGGCCACCAGTCATTTTATAAATTATTTGTCACACCCAAACTATTGAATCCTTGCTGTCTCTGCTATGATAGGTCACCTCTGCAATTAGTGAAGGTACACATCTATCTTCAGGCAATAGCTAATCTCTACAGCCATATGTACAAAGGCAGCCTGATCATAATTTGGTATTTATTGGACCATGTGACTGTTTTGTTTTCATTGTCTCAAAACATCTTATCTTTCCATTCCTTAAGGCTTATTAGTGGGTGGGTCCCTGGATGCCATGTTCATGCCATTTCTATAGAATCAAATAAGGATAAATATATGACATTTTTATCTTTTGATGTTATAGATTGCTTTGCTCTCTTAGATATCATTTTAGTCTACAGAGATTGATCTTGTAAAACTGTAATCACCTGATCTTTCATATTCTCTGTCATTTACAGAATGTAGATTACAGAGTTCTGTGGCTGAGGAAGCATTTTGATTGACACCATGAAGTTTTAGAAATTCTCTGACTTACTTCGTAATGAATTAGTGGTTGATATGCTACCATTGCACATTTTGCTTACTCATTGGTAGGAAATTTAGAGGCAGTTGCCCATTCTCACTAACGTATGTGGCAGACTGTATATATGAACTGGCATTTATCTGAATTTGGATTTTAACCCTCGTCTCCCTCCTGTGTTTCCCAGTTGTTTTTATTTCAGTTGCTGCGAGGGCTGTCCTACATCCACCAGCGGTATATTCTGCACAGAGACCTGAAACCGCAGAACCTTCTGATCAGTGACACGGGGGAGCTAAAGCTGGCAGATTTCGGTAGGAAAGCAGTTAATTACCAGTTTGTTTGTCACACTGTGAGAATGCCGGGCAGATGGTGGCACTGTCTTTGTTTAGGTGCAGTTCTTCTGTCACCATGGATCATGGTGATTTTTTTTCCTGGGACAAAGAAATTATTTCCATCTTTTGAGAAATGGTAAAGTAAAAACATAGTGGTTGGTGGATTTTTATGAAGTAGGACTCTGCTTGCTGGTCTTCCTTACATAAGCACAACATGACATCAAACAAAGTCTCAGGAAAATTTGAACATAAAATATACTTGAGGAGATCTTCTTTCTTTGCTTAGATTTTATTATGAAAATAATCTGAAGTAAAATGACAGAATAGCCTACCACACAACTTTAAGAAGTCTGAACATTTTATTAAACTTCAAGAGCTGTGAAGGGAAATCTTGGTACCAGTTTTGGGCATCCTAGGATGAACAATGTTCAAAACTCACTCACTCTAAGGACATAATATAGGAATCTCGTGTAACCTTGCCAATAGTGATGGTTATTGTGGGTATTCCTCATAGCATTATAAATGGGAATGATCATTTAAATCCCAGGTCCTAGAACAGGGGTTTTAAAAGATGTTTCTTAGAAATTTGAAACTGGTCTTTCACATCTTTGAGAACCCAGAGGAAGCAAAACCAGTGCCTCTCCCTACTGTCACTGTGCTGTGTGGCTCACTGGGCTCCCGGCAGTGGGGAATGACACTTGATGGAAGGAAGTGTGATGTGTTGACACTACATTGCCTCAATTATTTTTGAATACATATTCAGATTAGAAATTTGTTCCATTAAGAACGGAATGAAAATATTACCCTTGGGATGTAAAGATGCCTGAGGTTGAGACAACCTTTTGAGGAAAATAATTATTTTCCCCATCCCAACCCCCAAGAAATAAAAGAGGGAAGGGAGTGGTTGTTTATTTCAAGGTCAGGTTGTTGAGTACCCCTGGACACATATACTCTGCTGGGTTTTATGTCTTTCTTCCAAAGAGAAAGTGAAGCAAAAATTAGCATGATTAGTGATATATGTTAACAAAATATTTTTTCATCAGTGACTTTAATATAAATAGTGAAAATCTGTATGATTTCACACACGTGTTGTTTATTGCCAGATGAAGATTATATGAGGTAGATAGTGGATGAGGGCGGGGGTTGGTAGAGAGGAATTTTGTAGTTCTTCAAAGTCAAAGTATTAGCTTTGCAGCAGACATTTTGTAGTTTGTCACTGTCAATAGCTTTAAAAGAATTTTAACAGTGATTGTTTTTAAATCATAGTTTGCTGGTATAAGATATCTATTGAAATACATTACTGTGTTGAGCACTTAACTGAATTGATCCTGTTCCTTAAATTTCTCATTGAGTATGTCAGTAAATATGTGTTATAAAATTATTTGTCTGTACAACTAAAGATACAATAGAGTTGTATGAATGTGCTTAATAATTGGTTTTATATTTTAAGATGTTATTTTTATTATTATAGCAAGGTAAGTTAATTTGAAAATACTCTCTATGTCTTTTGGCTGTTCAATATCAAATAATCCATCCTGAAAATATACATACAGCTAACATGTTATGGGGCTCAACAGATTATATTTAGGAATATATATTTACAAAGCACTAGCATTTTATATCTGATTCAGTAACAAATTGAGATGGAAGTCTTAAAACCTGAAATGATACTCTTTTTAGAAATGTAGAAATTTAAGAATATGAATCACTCAGAAATTATATTTTAACACTTTAATGTATTTTCTGTCTTTTTTGTGCATCTTGTTTCACCTACCTATTGTCTGTCCTCCAATAAGATACATACTGTTTTATAAGTATTTATCTAATAAGAGCATTTCTTAATGTCTATTCATGTTGAGAAAAATGACAAGATCATTTGTATCAGCTGGGATTTTTCCATTATTGGCTACAGTATCATTTCTGTTTAAGCCCTTGTCAAGGATGTTTTAATTACCCACAATTTTACACATTCCTGTACATATGCATTCACCCTTTGTAGTGAAAGAGCCATGTACTAGAGGCGGAGGGGTGAGTGGCTTTAAAGCAATTCATTCTTTGGTCCTTACTGAGCAGCAAAGGATGGCCCACATACTCTCAGTGTCTTAGTCAATTGTTTAGCTAGGAGCATGCAGTTGGCATCCGTCCTATTCCTAGAGTGTAATGAGCGAGACTTGTTCACCAATTGACAATTTCCCCCAATTAAGTGTGCATTATTTTGTCTTTTAATTTAAGACATGCAATTAACTGTGATTTACGGTGTTTGGGCACGAGTGTGTGTGAGATGAAGGAAATGCATGGAAAATACAGTGAAGCTAGATAGTCAAAACGGTCAGTTCCAGGCAGCAGAACCCTTAGACACAGTTCTTCGTCCGGAGTCTGACATTTCAAGAGCTTTGGGAATTTTGCCTTGCCTTTCTTTTATGCGAACAATGCCGAAAACATCTGAATAAAAGAGATAAATATGTTCTGAATGACTGTATTCCCTGTACTGTAAGTGCTGCTTCCTTATTAGAAAATAAAAACATGCCAGAGAAAGTTTGACAAAAACTCTTCTGCTTCTGTTGTGTGGAATAGTTTTGAGAAGAATTGGTATAAGCTGTTCTTTGAATTTCTGGTAGAATTCTGCACTGAGGCCATCTGGGCCTGGGCTTTTTTTGGTTGGGAGACTTTTGATGACTGCTTCTATTTCCTTAGGGTTATAGGTCTATTTAAATTGCTCATCTGTTCTTGATTTAATTTTGGCAAGTGATATCTATCCAGAAAATTGTCCATTTTCTTTAGATTTTCAAATTTTGTGGAGTACAGGTTTTCAAAGTATAACCTATGGTTCTCTGGATTTCCTCAGTGTCCATTGTTATGTCCCCCTTTTCATTTCTGATTTTGTTAATTTGCATGTTCACACTCTGCCGTTTCATAAGTTTGGACAAAGGTTTGTCTATCTTGTTGATTTTCTCAAAGAAACAACTCTTCGTTACATTGATTCTCTGTATTGTTTTCCTAGTTTCTACTTTATTGATTTTGAAATGTTTTAGCACCTCGACCTTCCTGTTGCAGAGGTTTACTCTGTCTTATGTGGTAAAATTGAGTGAAACAGTTGTGCTGATTTCCATTTGTCTTCATATTCCCTATCATCTACAGGGAAAATATTTCAAATCCGTTATCCACGCTGTCTCCTCAATACCTGGGTCCTGCTAGTACCAGCCATTTAGTGGCCTTTATTGTGTCCTGGGTTGCCCACCCTCCTGCTTCCCATGTGGCTGTCCTTTCTTTCTTTTATAGAGGAATAGTTGTAACCCTGCCCAGAATAGGACCACTGTCAGTACTGTCTTTAGCTTAGTGAAGCAGTCACATTTCTAATGCATTATAAGTATTCTAGTCGCTTGGTCTTGTATTTTCATTTTTTGCTTCAACTACTTATCTTGCTCACTATCACCTGTACTATGTGCCCGACCCTACAGTAGATACCAAAGCAAAACATTAGCAATAAACATTTGTTGAATGGATAAAAACCCATGAAAAAAATTAGTAATCACCTAAAGATTAAGACTCACGTGAATGTACTAATGTCTGTTTCTTCTTTGGAAAACTAGCTGTTTATAAAACAGCTGTCTCTTGCCGGGTGGTGGTGGTGCATGCCTTTAATCCCAGCACTCGAGAGGCAGAGGCAGGGGGATCTCTGTGAGTTCGAGGCCGGGCTAGACTGACAGCGTCCAAAACAATACAGAGAAACCCTGTCTCGTAAAACAAACAAATAAAACAAAACAAAACAAAAAGCAGCTGTCTCTTTTTCAGAGTTGTCCTGGCTCTTGATAACCAAGATTGCAGGTGGAGTTGCTGGGTTGAAGAAGTGTGGTGTCCTAGACTACTTTTGAGTCTCTCCCGCATGGGTTTCACACAGTGCTTGGTATTTCTGATGCCTGTAACTTCAGGTTGCAAAACTAAAAGCAAATGTAACTAGCAGACCCAGTTGAACTTTTATCAATTGCAGAGTATATTAGACATTGAAGTAAGAGATCATTACTGAATTCAACTCATGTGGGTTTTCAAGACTCATTTATGTTTTCTGAGCCTTTGCTTGCTGTGTGAAATGAAATACTCTTGGACAGACACATTCCAATGTCCTGTTAGTGTTGGTGGTTTATGTTGTACATTTTTTTAATGCATTAGCCTATTTTCTAGTGACTAGAGACTTACTAGTAATTAAAAATTTGTTCACTAAATGTAAATAAGTATCTGGACATTTCTCCCAGGAATCTAAATTTTGGTTCTTTTTTTGTGAGAATGATATAATCCCATAATTTCCCTCTACCCAACCTCGTCTCATATGTCCCCTCCACACCCTCACTCTCATTCAAATTCATGGTCTCATTTTCTTTAATTGTTGTGACATACATATGTATACATGTGTGTTTATCTCTAAATATGTAAATACAACCTGTGCTGTCCATGTAATGTTACTGATATGTATATGTCTTTAGAAGTTTGAAATTCCAACAGATGAGGCCAGTCATACTTTCATGATGTATTGTATACATTAAAAGAAAAGAATTGAAGCACAGACGGCAAATCAAATGCATGAATTCACGAGTTCTTAGTAGTATAAGAACTCAAAGTATTTTCCATCTAAATTAGATTAAAGGGAACTGTAGATTTACAATTTTGTGCAGTTTTTGCAAGGTGATGTGGGGTCATCCAGGTTTCTTCTTCTGTTTTTAGACGTCACGGTCTAACTATATTGAAAGACAGTTAGGCTATGTTTATGCCTGGAGATGGAAAGAGATCACCAAGAAGTATCTAATAAACATTTGAAGTCACAGTTTGTTTTACAAGCTTTTCAAGGAGGAATCAAATTAAACAGCTCTGTGGTTTTAATCGAGAAAAATCGCTCTGTTTTCTTCCTACCATCGGCCTTCCTAAGGTTTATAATTCTCACAGAGTTTCTTAGAGAACTTTTGTAATTCAATTTTAGATTAATTTAC